CTTTCCTTTCCTTTCCTTTCCTTTCCTTTCCTTTCCTTTCCTTTCCTTTCCTTTCCTTTCCTTTCCGGAATTAGGAGGTACCCTTGTCTAGCTCAAATCAGTTGAAGCCACTGACCACTTGGGTCAGAGGGCCACACAGCATGCTCAGAACATTCCTCCTCTCAGGAGCCATGGGTTTGGTTACTGATGATCAGATTACTGATTACCTTACTCTGCTTCTTCCAATCACCAGTCCCCATGCCTCAAACCACCTACTTTTTTTTTTTTCATTGAGAAACAAATATGAATGAGACAGTTTCAAAGCTGATTAACAGGACAGTTTCGATAATCAATACATTGTATATTGTTATCTTCTTAGTGGTTATCCATAGTACAAGAAGCAGACTTGTATCCTGTCCAAACACTATGAGTACAAATCTTTCTTCTCATTGAATTAAGTGAAAGTAGCTGTATATCTATCCTAACTATTTTGTATATACATATACAAAATGATCTTTCCTTTGTATCCCCTTTTTATGTTTAGTCCTGTCAGAGGTATATTCTATTGGCATCTAAATACTATAGGTGCTTGAATTCAGCCAAACAATCTAACACTGTCCAGCAGTCTATAATATTAGTGGGTTATCCTCAGAAGTTATTATTTTTTTTTTCTCAGAAGTTATTGACTTGAGCCTTTTACAGCTCATTGTATTAATATGGCTTTACTATATATACCTCGTTTTTATACTTTTCTGCTGGATGGTTAAGACCAAGATAAAGCAAGACCTATATAACAAGAAATGTAACTTTTGTATCTGATAAGGTCAGTCAAGTACCCTCAGGATTTATCCTGCAGCCCTGTACCACACTTTGTAGATCCTTTGTCAGCATCAGCCATGAGGATGAGTCACGGCCATTGCTTGACCAATTTGCTCTTTGTGAAAGCCTGAGAGAATGCTTTCTCTCCATGTGATTCTCTCCAGGCACACTATACATCATCACCCACATTCCTCTGTGGCTCCATAATCTCCTTGATCAGAAAATTTGGGGCACACATGATGTTATGGTACAGGTTCTCCTATGTCCTGAGTCTTCACTGACCTTGAAAGGCTAGGGCCAAAATGTTGGCTGACCTTGCAACCCTTCCTTTTCTCCAATTTTTGATCTGTTAACTTAGGTTGTTAACCCTCCAGAAGAGAAGCTTATTATTAACTTGCAATATATGCAGTTCAGTTTACCCTGTCTGTCAGACCACCTACTTCTTTATCCCATAAATACCTTTAAACCCCATCCCCTGGGAGGCAATCAGAGGCCTGCTCACTTGTCTTCACAGTTGTGGCCACCTCATAAATGAGCTATTTGCCAAGACCCATTCTTTCAGTGATTGGCATACTGCAAGCCTGGCTCAGCAACACTTTCAGGGGAGAAAGGAACTGGGCACCTGCTACCTCACTACTGTGCCAGGCTCCTGAGTTACTGCAGAGGTTCCATAGCTCTCACTCCACAGCACAGTCCTAATTCCAATGAGAGCACAGCCCCATGAGAGTACACCATGTGGGGCAGCATTGCCTCGGACCATCCATCCTGGTGGGTCTCCTCCAGTGGCCAAGGCTGGGCAGCTTTGGGACAAGCAGCTGTGATCTGATTTCTTGGGCAAAGCAACCTGCATGAGCCCAGGCAAGCAGAGGTTTCCCAGGGCCAATGAAGCCAGTGGCCATGGTCCCTGCAGTCTGCCCCAACTGGGGCTTCTTTCCATCAGCCTTTAGGGACCCAGCTCCTCAGAGCCCAGAGGGTTATAGGGCAGATCTCAGGGGACCCACCAGCTAGGCTGTGCCTGTGGCTCACAGAGCGTCAGCCTTATGATGGCCGACCCAGTGTGCTCGTCTGAGAGAACTTTCAGGCTACCAGTTCCCTTGGGCTCTCTGGCACAGGCCATGCCTGCTCAGAAGGCGGGTCTTACTTGCCTGTTGACCCCTGTCTCAGGCTAACTGCAGCTGAGACTTCTTCTTAACCTTTCAAGCTCAGAAGGACCATCACTGTGTCTGCTGGGGCTGGTCAGGGTGGCTACATAGGCAAAATGTAGAGGCCTGGAGGGCTTTGAAAAGATGGGTGGTGCACTCTGGGAGCACTCTCAATGGCAAGTTGAAAGGACTGGGGTTTCACAGCCTTGTTGGTCCTTTCACCCTGATGTCTGTGCACTCTGAGGCCAGGGCTCTTGGACAACCTGCAGCTGCCACCGGAAGCTGCTTCAGCCTGTAGGCACGTGGCCAGGAAGGGGGTGCCCTCCTGCTGTTGCACAAGAGCTGTTCTCCGACTTCTGTCCCCATGAGTTGACCCTACTCAGGCCTGGCCTTCCCCAACATCCAAAAGGATATTTCTGGCGTGTTTTTCCTTCACGGCCACTTCCTGCGTATTAATGGCCTTATTGATGCTGACAGTCTGCAAAACAAGAGGGGGGGGAGGGGAAAGGAGGATATGATGAATAAGCCTCTGAGAGGGGCTGAGACCCTGTGGTGGCCATCCCTTCCTCCTCCTCCTCCGATGCTCCTCTTCCTTGCAGCCCTCTGCTAAGGGAGGCTGGTTCCTCTGCGGGCACCCAGCTGGGGGCAGAGGTGGGCAGCACTCCCAGGCCAGCTGGTCCCAGTGGTCCTGGACGGAGTGGGCTTTGCTGCCTGGCATTGGTTGTGCCCAGCTGCTGCACCCGCCTGCCACTCATTCACTTGGCACAACAACACGGCAATTAAAGACTGCACAAAGGGAGGCTTTTCATCTCCCAGGGAAACATTATTCCTTGGGGAGCAGGAGGAAGGGGCGCTGATGTCAGGGCGTGAATGTAGCCTGAGACCATCCAGCTGCCCCTGTCTGAAACCTTCCGCAGGGCCTTCCTGCTGCCACTCCAGTCTCTCGCTTTCTCATTCTTGGGAGCATTTTTCAACTCCTTGATAATGTCCTTTTCCTTCCTTCATTACATGGAAGGACACCGAAAATATGTCATTTCAGTTGTTTTTATAATCACAATTTTCTTTTGAAATTATTTATCTGTTTATTTATTCATTTATTTTTGTGATACTGGGGACTGAACCCAATTCAGCTGAGCTATATTGCCGGCCCTTTTCATTTTTGAGACAAGAGTCTTAACTAAACTGCCCAGGTGGGACTTGAACTTGCAGTCCTCCTGCTTCAGCTTTTTGAAAGGCTGGGATGACAGGTACCACTGTGCCCGGCTAGAATTCTCTTCAATTTAACAACACACGTATGAATAAAATTCACACAACACATAAACAGGATCATATCATGTAGGCTGCTTCTTATATAGTGGAAAGTTTTCTTTTCTAGACCTTGGCTTGATTCCCTCCTGCAGACATTAATCACCCCTAACCCACATCAGCAACCTGTTAGGATTCCTACACACATGGGGGCACACACACACACACCCACACCCCCCCCTACATACTGACACATGAATTCTGCTATCGTTTTATGAACAAGGATTAGCATACATGAACTTTTCTATCTTACACTTCTTCTTCTTCTTTTTTTTTTTTTTTTGTGGAACCAGGCATTGAAGTCAGGCCCTTGTGCTTGCCAGGCAAGCACTTATTCTACTGAGCCATCTCCCTGGCCCCTGTCTTGCACTTCTTACTTGAAAAATATCTCATCAACATTCCTCAAGTGGTCTCCAAAGCTCTAGTTCATCCTTTAAGGGGACAACATGCTGCTTTCCAGGGTGGGTGAGAATGATTTATGCTCATCTTCCTGTACTGGTTGAAATTAACTATAATTGACTATTCCTAGTTCCCCCCCACTGTAAACCCTGTGGTACACACACACACACACACACACACACACGTGTGTGTGTGTGTGTGTGTGTGCGCGCGCAAACATAACTCCTTAGTAATTGATACTTTTCTTTCCAAAGGGTAGATTTCTGGGAGTGAGATGTCTCCTCTGGTCAAAGTGTTTTCTTAACCTTTCATTATGGAAAAGTCTAGACACACACAAATAATATGAAGCATCATCTAGCGTCAACCATTGTGAACCTGGACTAGGGCCAGCCCCTATTTTCTGTAAATGGCAAATATTAGTAAATATTTGAGGCTTTGCGGACAGCATGGTCTCCATCACAATTAGCCAACTCTGCCACTGAAAACTACATAAATACATAAACAAGCAAGTGAGGCTGTGTAAAACCAGGTGGTGGCTGGCCTGCTGCAGCTTACAGATCCCCCCTCTACACCACTGGCCACTGACGCCCCAGAGCCTCAGATTATTCTGAAGTAGATAAAACCTGGACACGGAGTCAGCTTGCTGGTGAGTCACTACACCAGATGACTGAAAAGTCCTTACAGGCTCATGTTGAACTAGGTGATTTCTAGGTCCCTTTGTACTTTGGGCTGTTCTACAGGTTCTAGATGTCAGGGCAAGGAGTTGTGATGGGAAAGGTACTGGGGGTCCACGAAAGGCTCTTGTGCAGGCGAAGAAACCAGACAAATGCCTCTCCTTCCTCCCAATGAGGAGTTGTTTCTTCAGTGCCCTGAGAGAAGCTCTCTAAGGAGCAGCTACGGGCACCTGTGAGTCCTGCTGGCCTCCATGGGACAGTCCGAGTCTGTCCTGGGCCAGGTGGATCCTGGGAGCTTCTCTACTACAGCCAACATGCTCACCATCATGCCTGATGCACTTTACCTCATGGACATGGCTGGGCACTAGCTGTCCCATGTTGGAGGTTGTAGCCTAGCTTTGGTGACAAGGGTAGGGCTCAGTGCACTGGGCAGGGCTGAGCATAAGTCTTAGCATGCTGGGCTCATAAGCAAGTTGCGGGTCACCCGAGGCCCTACGAATGTCATCACCTTCAGGTTTCCAGGGCAAAAGTCTCCTGCTTGGACCAGGTTCGTGAATGCCTTGTATCAGGGATCCTATCTCTGTCCCATCTAACTGTTTTCAGAGCACAGCATACATATCACCTTTTTTTTTTTTTTTTTGACCTATTCTGCTACTCAGGACAACCATTTGTTTTTCTTTCTTCCTTTTGTCAATTTTGAAGTCTTCTAATGTTTGATACTTGGTATACTGCCTTCCTTCCCCTCTAAGTCCGGAGGATAGGGATCCTGCTTGTCTGTCCCCACAGGCCTACAATTTGGTAAGGCCTCAGGGTATGCAGTCCCCTAAGCCCCACTAAGAGTCCCAGATGTGATCCTTAGCCAGAGACTGCTCCCAGTCCCCGAAGTCCCAAACTCGGGAGGGAATCACTGGATCTGAACTAGTCCTGCCCCCTCTAGGCCAATGCCCAGGGAAGCGGTGCCCCAAGGGCACAGTGTGCCAGCTCAGGGCTCAGTGGCTCACCTCTGGAGGGGGGTCTAGATTAGAGAACATCCTCTGAGAACAGGCTGTCCTCCAGCTTTCCCTGGAGTCACACGGGACCTGAGACCAGACCAGCGCAGTCGCCCTGAAAGAGCAGCATTGTGTGCCACTTCCTGCCCCAGCTGGCCCCAGTGTCCCAAGCTACTCCCAGAGAGCCAATTAGCAGCAGGCACCGCAGGAAGGGTGGCTTTCTCCCAGCCCCTCCTCCTCCCTCCCCACCCCACCCCCAGCTCCCTGGGGGCAGCCCAGAGGCTGTGACCAATGGCTGCCCTTTTGGGATTTGCTTCTGGGGGGAGTGGGTCCTAGGCCGGCCTGTGGGGCCAGCTGGGCACTGCCTGCTCATGCACACACACAGCTCCTGGCAGGGTCCCAGCCCTCGGGCTGCCAAGGCCAAGCTGGCTCGCAAAGGTTCCATGCAGGGGTGGGCAGAGAGGATGTGCCTTGTGTGGGCGGTGGCTGCCCTGCCGTGAGGGACCACAGGACGGCCCTGGCAGGAGGAGAAAGCAAGGAAAGGAAGAAATAGAAACACAAAGGGCACGCACTGTGCTATGGTTTGTCCCTCTGGAAACTCCTCTTGAAGTCTGATTGCCATTGGTGGTATCGGGAGGTGGGGCCTCTAATAAAGTAACTCTGTGGCTATAAGGGAGTGACACTTTGCCAGAAGAGTAGGTCCTTCTAAGTGTGGCCTCTTCTGCATGTGCCCACTTGTCCTTCCATCGTCCACCACAAGGGGAAGCAGCACTAGGCCTTTGTGGGATGCCAGCCTTTGCCCTTGGACTTCCTAGCCTGAGTACCATGCACTAACTAGGTTTCTTTCCTTTATAAGTTACCCAGTCTCCAGCATTCTGTAATAACAACAGATGAGCTCAGGCAAAGAAGGAGGGAGCCACTTATTCAGGAGAAGGCCTGGGTGGCTACCACCTGCAGCCACAGCAATGGCTGCTCATGCCAGGGATGGAAGACAGCCTAGAAACTACTAGCACCTTTTGGTGCTACTCAGCAGCCTTGAAAGCTTGTGGGAAGCAGGCCCAGGGGACACGGGGTCTGTGCACTCAGCTTTCTTCCTCTAGCCGCATTCTGGCTATGGCTCTCTGCATCCATGAACCAAACACAACCTGCTCGGGGCCCAAAGAATCTTCTTGCCCAAGTGCTGATCCTGAGATATGGGCAAAGAGGGGTCCTGTGGGCCCTTAGCTCCATCGGGGAGGAACGCTAGTAGTGAGGGGATGGGGAGGAGGAGAAACAAGACACAAAGTCCTCTGAGGCATGTTGTCACAACACAGGCAGGCAGCTCAGGAGACAGCCTGGGCATCACCTGAGCTAGGATGACAGGAAGTTCAGTTCAAGCTGAGACCTGACGAGCCTGCGACATGTGAAGGGACAAGCACAGCACAGATCACACCTAGCGTCCATAGCAGGGGTGTTTGCCACATTGGTGAGACTGTTGGTCTTAGCTGTGACACCTGGCATTTAGTCTGAAATTTTTTTAATCTTTTTTCTTGTTTTAATTTTTTTTTTTTTTAGGGGGGAAGCTGAAATTCTTATCTTGATTAGAAATAAAAACAGAGGGCTGGTGAGATAGCTCAGTGGTCTAAAGCACCTGCTTAGGCAAACTTAAGCAAGCATGCAAGTACCTCGGTTCGATCCCCAGCACCACATGCCATGCCAGCCCCGCGCCCAGGGTGGGCTGTGCTGACCATAAAAAAGAATAAATAAATAAATAAACCATTAAAAAAAACCTAAAATAACATATTTTTTAAAAAAGAAACAAAAACAGCACACATATCCCTCAAATTATAACAGGGTCACATTTTATAACAGGGTCACATTTCAATAAACCTATCATAAGTTGAAAATATGTTCAGATGAAAATGTATTTAGGGGGCCGGCAAGATAGCTCAGCAGACTAAGTGCCTGCTTTGGCAAGTGCATGGACCAGGGTTCGATCCCTGGTACCACACGCTGTGCTGGCCCTGCCCCTGGGGTGTGCTGAGCCAGTGACGGAGTCCGGGTGCACGCCTGTAATCCCAGCGCTGCAGAGGCTGAAAACGGGAGGATCACTAGGAGTCTGAGCTGCCTAG